GACCGTGCGTAGGGCCGGCCCGCAGCCTTTCTCTGGGCCTGGCAGCGTGTTCCCGGGCGGCCGGGAGCCGGCGAAGTGAGGTGGCGGTGGCGGCCGGGGGACACTCCGGGACGAAGACGGCGCAGGGGACAGCGGCATGACGCCCCCGGGGCCGGGGGCCCCGCCGGCTGCGCGTCGCGCCCCCGCGACCTGCCCGAGGTGGTGAAGGCGCCCTCTCCGCGCGCCCTCCCGGGTCCCTGCGCCGGTCTCCGCACAGCAGGGCACAGGCGCGCCCGCAGACAGCGCGCGGTGACCGCGCCGTGGGCCCGAGGGGCCGCCTGCATGGCGAGGCCGGCAGCCCACGGCCCCGGAGCTCGCGGGGGAAGGTCGGCAGGGACCGCGCACTGACGGGCCGCCTGTGCCTGAGCGCGTCGCGCGGGTCCCCGGAACAGGCACCGCGGAACCAGAGGACAGATTTGCCGGCGCCCCGGCCCGGAGGGGCCACAGCTCGGGGGCGCGCCCGGCTCGAGGCGGGACGCGGGCAGCCGCCCGGCGCCTGGAGGTCGCCCTCGTGGGCGCCGCTTCCGAGTCTGCGCTCGCAGTCGCCCAGGACCCTCCCGACCGCGCCACCTTCCACGGAGCCCGGCGAGCGGGCCTCACCGCCAGAGCGCACAGGAGCCCCCGCCGCAGGCTGCCGAGCGGCTCCGCCCGAGGGCAGCGGAGCACCGGGCCCCGCGGCCGCCGAGGGAGGCTGCGCCGGAGGATGCCCAGGCGCGCGCCGGGGCCTCTGCGCAGCGGAACTTCGTAGGAGCCAGTCTCCGGCCGGCCGGCCGCCGCTCGTCGGCGCCGAGGAAGGCGAGGCCGCGCGGGACATGCCCCTGGCGTAGCCCGGCGGAGGCATGGCTGCCGGCAGGCTGTTGCTCTACACTGGCCTCTCGCTGGCGCTCTGCGCCCTCGGCATGCTGGCCGTGGCCATCTGCTCCGACCACTGGTACGAGACGGACGCGCGCAAGCACCGCGACCGGTGCAAGGCCTTCACCACGCGCCGCGTGGACCCGGGCTTCATCTACAACAACAACAACAACCTCCCGCTGCGGGCCAGCCGCGCGCGCCTTGACCGCTGGGAGGGCAAGCTCCTGCGCGCCCGCAACCGGCGCCAGCTCTTCGCCATGAGCCCCGCGGACGAGTGCAGCCGCCAGTACAACTCCACCAACATGGGCCTGTGGAGGAAGTGCCACCGCCAGGGCTTCGACCCCGACATCGCCGCTCTCATCCGCAAAGGTGAGCGCAGGGCGCCAGAGGCCCGCCGACGCGCCTCCTTCCCCGGCTTCAGCGGGCCGGGCGGGCCGGGGCCACAGGCCCGGCTGAGCCTTGGGGTGGCGGGAGCTTGCCTTCCGGCCGCCGGCCAGGCGTGTGGCCGAGGCTGGCCTTTTTCCCTCGGGCCTCTGCCTGGGCTCCCGAAGGACTCGCCGAGTCCGGGGGTCTTACCCAGCGTGACGTTTCGTCGGCTGCTGGAAGGAAGGGGCTCGTGGAACGCAGTGCTGTGAACCGAGGCACAAGCCCCTGGAGAGCGAGCTGTCAGGGTAGACGGGTTCCCAAGCCGAATCTTTGTTCCGCATGTGGAACTGATTCGTCCAAAAGAACCGGGAAGCGTCTCGCAGGGAGGGCCTTCTTCGTGCCGGGTGCTCGCCGGTACCAGGCTGCTTGCAGGCGCTGGCCACCGAAACGGCCGTGTAGCACAGCGCTCGGCCTGTAGCCGCTCAAAGCCTTCGGCCAGCGGCAGCGCGTCCCACTTCTTTATTTATGCTTTTGAGAAGATGATTGACAAAGTGACAGGTGTGCACAGGGTATTAGCAGGGGCTGATATGTTTATCTGGGTACCACCCAAGGGGGCCCTTCAGAGAAGAAAAAGCACGATTTTCAGATTTATATAGTAAACACCCAAATCATACCAAAACAGAGCAAGCCGCCTCTGCTTTTGGTAACATTTTAGGTGGGACCTGACTGGTCACAGAACACGTTTCAAAACTCTGCCATCTGAGGCTGTTTGTCTTTCTTGTCTGATGTGTGCTTGGCCACCAACTATCGGTACCACTGCAGTGTTGTCTGAATGCTGCTAACATTGCTGTTCTGTGGCGGCTGCAGCCTGGGGAGAGGAAGGGGCTGGTTTTCTGAGTCTTGTGGTTTGGCTCTGCTTCTCTTCAAGTATGAAATGGTGACGCCAAGGTGAATTTAACGCTTTTCTTGGCAACTGCCAGGAAGCCCATGTGAATACAGTTCCTCAGGTCTCTTACCATTCTGATGCCATGAGGTTCACTGCTGCTTTTAAGAAAGAATGTTGTGCAAACCAGTGTAATTCTCTGATTTATAACAATGTTGAGATGGATCAGAAAACATTGTTGGGTTGGGAAAGTGGCTTCCTGAAGAAGGAGGTGCAGTGCTTCTGGTCTGGGTGGCCAGTTCAGGGCGGGCGAGGTGGGTGCAGAGAGGAGCCCCGTCTTCATGTTTGCTTTGCAGTTCTGGGGAATGACTAGGGATTTTGGCCATTGAGTTAGGGGATGCTGACATCCCACACACCACACGTGTTTCGTGATTAGGATTTTACCCGAGAAGGGTGACCCGGGTGGAGCCCTGTGACTTTGTAAAGATGTGCAGGATGCAGGAGGGTTCCAGGAGAGAGCAGCTTGGCTTCCGATTTAGAAAGGGGGAAACAGTAGTTTTTGGCAGTGGATGACTTTGTAGAGTTTTGAGTCTCCGGTTTATGCACTGCTGTCTTATCCGGAGTTTTCTGCTTTCTCTAAAATAGTAATGGCAGGAAGTGAACCAGAACTTGAGGAAGATTAGTGCTAATGATAATTGGTTGCTGAAGGACGTTCTTGAACTTTCTTCCTCGAACATCTTCTTCTGGAACAAGCCAGGTGTCTGTCCTTCCGTCTGGGATTGGTCAGTATCCGCTCTTGCCTCAGGGACGGGGTGCAGAGCTCATGGCTTCTGGGGGAGCCACTCAAGGCTTTGATTCCACGTTGCTCTGCTGGGTGACACGACTAGAGAGCTTGACTTGGTCTGTGTGCCAGAGGGATTGGTTGCCATGGTGACATGTTCTTCCGGTGATGCTGGAAATGCAGTGACAGGGAGAAGGATAGGGGAAGACTGTACAATATTTTGACTTTGTAGCGACGGTGTTTTAATTGCAGCCAGAGAAAATGGACACGGCCCAGCAGGGGGATTGAGTGCATGGCTACCTGGCATTGGCAGGGCGTTGTATTTCACTGGAGCTAATGGGAACACTGTTTCCCATCGCCCCGAATACAGCAATCACTGTCAGCCACCGGCACCTGGTTACCATGCGGCTTCTGTCCACTTGACATCCTTGTTAAGCATTATTGAGATGGATGGCAGGCCAGGCTTACAAATCTCAAGGGATTTCAGGTCACAGTCTTCGTTTTTTTAACCTCAAAACATGATCTTTGAGAAACACCTCTTCCTTGTGGAAGCAGCAGTAGATGCATCTTGGAAATCAGTGCCCCTTGCACTAGCAGAATCCACAAGCAAGTTCACTAACGGACAGAACGTAATGTCCAGCTTTAACCAGTGTCCTCCTGGGGGAGGGAGCTCTGGTGGTGCAGTGGTTGACGCATTTGGCTCCTAATCGGAGGGTCAGTGGTTGGAACCCACGAGCTGCTCCGCAGAAGAAAGATGAGGCAGTCTGTTTCTGTAAAGATTTACTGCTTTGGGGGTCACTGTGAGTCGGAATGGACTCAATGGCAGTGAGTTTGGCTTTTATTTGATTTGTTTTTGGCTTCTTAGGGGGGCAGACTTTTATAAGGAAGTTAAGGAAGAAACAGGTGTCTCTATATTCAAATTTAGGGCATTTTAGGGCAAGATATTTATCTTACAGGATTCATTAGTAGCCTCAAAAATATCTTGGCCTTTGTCTTTTTTGAAATATCTTTGTGAGTGAAAAGTTTGGGGCGTATGTGCTGTGTTGGGCGAGGAGGAAAGGGAACCCAGAGGGAAGGCAGTTTGAACTCCATCAATATTGTGGGAAATGTGGAGGTTTATCTCCGTGGTCATGTGGCCCAATGTTGGTCGTTTGTAAAATCAGTTTGCGTGACGTTAGAAGGTGGGTTTATGCATTAAAATCCAACCCAACCCCAGAATTAATAAGAAAGCAAAAGTCAGATCTATATCTGATTTGAAGATAAAGTCTTGGGTTCCTGTTCTTTCTGAAACCCGTTGTCTTCCCTGCCTGGCTGCCAGGGCTGTGCCCACGAGGACACACTTCTGGGTACTGTGTATTTCTGTTGCCTTCATTGAACTGTAAGTTCTGATTGTTTGTCAAGTACTTCTGCCAGATGCCTGGTACTTGGGAAATAACCCACTGCCACCGAGTCGGATCCGACTCATAGCGACTCCTCCTTAGGTTTCTGAGCAGTATCTCTACAGAAGTAGATCACCCAATCTTCCTTCCGAGGAGTGGCTGGTGGGTTTGAACCGTCAGCCTTCTGTTTAACAGTCAAATGTCTTAGAGCTCCTGCTTGGGAAATATCTCATGCGAATTAGGATCACCAAAATGTATCCATCAAGAGCTTATTCTAATTGCGGGAATGTTGGTGTAGGAATCCAGACAAAAGCTGGAAAAAATAGTGAAAGAATTGAGATAAGCAAATGGAGTCAGTGTGACTGTCAGGCCAGGGTGACGTGGCAGCAGATACTGCACAGTGAGCCAAAGGAAGACTCACTGAGCGAAGAGGAAGGGCGGCGCTCGGTCCTTCTGTGCGTGACATGTCACTCAACAGTCACACGGCACCACGGCCACTGCTTTGCATGTTAGAGATTTTAATTATTTGCTTATTGGGCTCTGGATTGGGTTGGGGGTGCAGCAAGGACAAATGAGCACTGAACCCCCATCTCATCATCCCTGCGGCCCCATCTCACTGTCCCTGAAGCCCCATCTCACTGTTCTTGGACCCCCATCTTACTGTTCCCCCATCTCACTGTCCCTGAAGCCCCATCTCACTGTCCCTGAAGCCCCATCTCACTGTCCTTGAACCCCTATCTCATTGTTCTTAGACCCCTATCTTATTGTCCCCCATCTCACTGTCCCTGGACCCCCATCTCACTGCTCCTAAACCCCCATCTCACTGTCCCTGAACCCCATGTTACTATCCCTGAACCCCCATCTCATTGTTTCTGGACCCCCATCTCACCATCCCTGAAGCCCCCCCACTGTCCCTGAACCTCCATCTCACTGTCCCTGAAGCCCCCCCACTGTCCCTGAACCTCCATCTCACTGTTCCTGAACCCTATCTCACTGTCCATGGACTCCCATCTCACCATCTCTGAACCCCCATCTCACTGTCCTTGAACCACCATCTCACCATCTCTGAACCCCCATCTCATCATCCCTGGACCCCCATCTCAGAGTTTCCCATGAAGAGTTTTCAATTGGGAGTCCTCAATGTCTTGCCTTTAAACCTCACCCGTGACTCCATCCTTAGTCACTGCAAGCTCTGGGGACAGTGACAGGATCAGTTTCTGACCCAAAGAGCCTCCCAGACCCTTGGAAGGAGCAGCTACAGCTGGGATTCTGTCTTTGGGACCTGCAGGGGACAGGAGTGGTCTTTGGTTTGTGCTTAAAGTCAGTACCCCTCCCGCGGGGACTCTGAGAAGTTTAGAGTTATTTCCAAGTCTGCCCAGTGATACAATTTGACATAAATAGTTTCTGTAATCATAGAGTGCTTATCAACATCCTGAAAGTTATTTTAGGAAACGTTGCCCACATTTAAACATGGATTCTGCAATCAGCAAATATGTACTGTCCGTTTCTTGCTTCCTTGAATGGCCAGACTGGGTCTCACCTGCTTTGGTCACGTTGTCAGAAAGGACCATTCCCTGGAGAAGGATGTCATGCTTGGTAAAGTGGGGGGTTGACGAAAGAGGGGAAGGCCCTCAACGAGATGGACCGATACGGTGGCTGCAGCGATGGGCTCAGGTCTAGCAGGGATCGTGGGGCTGGCACAGGACCGGGCAGTGTTTCGTTCTGCTGTGTGTACTGTTGCTATGAGTCAGAGCCGACTCCACGGCACCTAATAACAACAACATGTTTCACGTGATGAGTGCCCTAGGGTGAAGGGGTGAATAAGACCTTCCCTCACAACTTTAAGGGTTTGTGAGGAGTTCCAGTGGTGCAGTACCGAAGCCATTTGACTGCTGACCTGAGGGCTGGCGTAAAGATTTACCACCTTGGAAACCCAGTGGGGCTCCCTGAGTCAGAATTG